CCTCAAATTCTCATCTTTTTCTCACATCCCATCTCTCTCTCTCTCTCTCTCACAGACACACAAATCACTTACTCACCCACTCTCTTTCTCACCGCTCTCTCTCCTTCCCTCAAATTCTCATCTTTTTCTCACATCCCATCTCTCTCTCTCTATCACTTACTCACCCACTCTCTTTCTCACCGCTCTCTCTCCTTCCCTCAAATTCTCATCTTTTTCTCACATCCCATCTCTCTCTCTCTCTCTCTCTCTCACTCATTAACTCTCTTTCTATCTCTCTCAATCTATCTCTCCTTCTCCTATTATGTACAACTTTTTCTCTTTCTCACTCTCCCTTTCGTTTCATTCTCTTTTTCTTTCATTCTCTCCTTCTTCCTCTCTCCATACCTTTCTCTATTTCTCACTCTCCTTCTCGTATTATTTACAACTTTTTATCTTTCTCACTCTCCCTCTCATTTCTTTCTCTTTTTGTTTCATTCTCTCCTTCTCCCTCTCTCCATACCTTTCTCTATTTCTCTCTCTCCTTCTTGCACTATCTACACCTTGCTCTCTTTCTCACTTTATCTCTCTCTCTCTCCCTTTCAGTTCTCTTACTTTCTTTCACTCTCTCCCCTTCTCGCTATCTCTATTTCTCTCTCCCTGTTTTTTCTCATGCTTTCTTTCTTTTCTCTCTCTCCTCTTTCTATCTCAATCTCTCCCATTTTTTTCCCTCTTCATGTTTCTCATTGCACCTCTCTTTTTTAAACTACAGGCTTTATATTGTTGCTTTATTTTTGCCTCCATGGTTCTCTACATTTCTATTTTTTTCACTCCTTGTCTCTCATTGTACTTCCCTATTTTCACTGTTTGTCTGTTTTTTAATTATTTACTTCTTCCTATTTCTGTTTTCTTAAACTCCATGTTTCTCGTTGTTTCTCTCTTTTTCAACTGTGTGTTTTTCACCGCTCCTCTTTTCTTTCACACCCTACCCCCACTCTCTTTCTTTAATTTTTTTCCTTGTTTCATTCGTATATAACATTTTTACATTATTAACAGGTCATTCAAAATAAAAAACTAACGTTTGTGAGATGTTAAATTAACAAAAATATTTGTTGTAATATCAGTGGAGAAAACCATTATGAAAATTAAGCCGTTTTTATAAGAACGATAATTAGTTGACATAAAGAAGATTCCTTATTTTTGGCATTAATTAATTTATAAATAAGCTAAATTTGCGTTAATAATTCCTCGTAATTAAGCCCTCTCTTGGGAACAATGTTCATAACATGGATTATTAGTAAAACCATTAACTTATAGATTTCTAGTTAATTGGGACATTATGCACAGCTGATTTGTGGTTGGTAATAAATGTGTTGTTTTAATTAACTCTTGTGAAATATATCTGTTACGTGTAGTATTTAGTGACCGTTAATTAATGATAATTTGGAGATCGTGAGATGAGGTCGGTGTGATGTAGGTTTAGAAATAAATTTTCTTTATCGTGCAACGTTTCGATCTTTATTAAAATCATCTTCAAGGCCTGGGATTTATAAATATTATTTAAATATACAAATCAATTTATACAATGATGTACACAATATAGAAATTTTAGGTTTAATCAAAGTATTTGTACTCCTCAAAGTCGGTTTTCTGTGTAGATGTGTCACTGTTGTTTGTCGTTTTTTGAATATCAGTGAGATATTAATGTTTTTTGTTTATATATGTTAGAGTTTGAAGGTGTGGGGAAGGAAGGATAGAAATTTATTTTTCTATGTTAGTAAAATATCCATTCCATTCGCTCACACAAGTTAAACACATTTCTATCTTCTGATAACTCCAAATTAGCCTTCATGAAGTATAAAATTATTCACACTATTTTTCTTTCCAAACGTTTGAAGAGATTAGACGTATTCCCGCATATTTTACAAGATGCCGACGTTTCAGTTTTCTTGGAAAATAACCTCCTGCCTTACTTTTGAGAGGAAACACGATTATGTATCTACCTATGAGAAGGATGGCGAACACTTTTAGGTACTTGAAGACAAAAACATTTACAAACAATTACTCAAATTAAAAGTGTAAGGTGCGACGCAGGAAAGAATTATGAGTTACTAGAATTATCGGCAGAGTTACCAACCACCAATTCGAAATTTCGATTAACTTTGTTGATACACGCGGCTTATAGGCGGTCCAAACAGTAACTAGTCTACTCCCAGTTTGATGAAACGTAAGTTTCGAACGGAAAATAACAATTCAATATTACTTGAACCTATTTGAATATTTTTGCCGATAATACAAAAAGTACTCGATACAGTACCTGTACCGAATTACAATATTGGATACCAAAAGTACTCGGTATCTAAAGAAAATACTCGATACTTTACTCATATCGATTGGTATCGTTCTAAATTACATCCCAATATCTGGATAAGAGAGTAAAACAACGTAGCTATGATTGCATAAAACCAAACAAAATCGTACAGCACCCTCCATTTTGAACGCCAACATAATTTTGATTTCAACTATCCAAAAATATTGAACACAGAACAAAACAAACATAAACGTAACTTTTTAGAAATGGTTTACATCAACAGAGATAAACACAGCATCAATTACAGAACAGAGACGTGTAAACTCAGCCGCAGCTACGCTAATACTATAAATCAAAACCAATATCAATAACATTCATATACAAAGTATAAAGGACTTAACGATTAGTGGTTCCAAGTAAAACAGGGGCTTAGAGTTACTCAAAAACGATTGTTTATTGCAAATTTTACTGAACTTTGTGCAAAGGTGAGCGTTTTTGTTTAGTTGAAAATATTTTAAAGCGCGTGCAGATTTAATAAAAACAAAAAGATTCGGACTACAAATTTAGGAATTAAAATATATTCGCTCAACAGTGTGACAAATTTAAATAAAATTTGAAATAATTATTTCAATTCTGTCAATAATTCATGGCGGGATATTAATGGTGACAAATTTAGCTAGGAACAATTTTAACCAAACTCCAGAGTAATTAATCATGTCAAATATACAAATCTGGCGAAGATTTTAATCAGCACTATCCGAAGGGAGGCCTCACAAAAAACCGTTGTTATTATTAAAACAGAAAATTAAACATATAAACAATTCCGGGAAAAAGTGTATTAAGTGAGTGGTTTCAATATTATTGTTTAATTAAACAAGTACAATTATTATAAAAACAGGGGACGTCGGTGGCCGCAACGGTTCAGGCGTTGACACGGCGCTCATCACTGTAAGGTAAAGATCCCGGGTTCGAATCCAGCGGCCCTGCATTCGAACCCGACATACTTACAGATGGGCATTTTTCAAAAACACCGGCACCCTGAGGGTTTATACGACCTCTGCTGTTGCGAACCCTCGTAAAAATAAAAAAAATAAATAAATAATAAACATAATTTAATACCTATACATATAAGATTCACAAGACTATTCGAAACAAGGATAATATAAATAAGACGAATATAGTCGGTAAAAATAAATGTGGATGCAGAGAGAATCTGTAATAGAAAAACCGCTTGTATTTTCTCAAGAATGAGAATAAGACACGTCGGAACAACTCGGCAAAATCGGTTGTTTTTATGAGACAACAATCTTCCAGACCCTGCCTACGAGCTTATAATGCTTATTGGCTGAATGCCGAACCCTGTTGTCCTCTGCTGTTGCGAACCCTTGTTAAAAAAAAACCAAAAAAAACAGTTATTACACTCCACACATCAAACAATTCTACATAGTCTACATCTTCAAAAATTTAACTCTCCTTTCCTTAATAATCTCGTCTGTAATAATCTTCAAAGGCTAACCACGCCCGAACGACAATCCATTACACTTTGTTTCCATTGTCGGCCCTTTTCACCTGAAAGAAGCCGACTACTCGTAGAAAAATGAAATTTCTATTCTTTCTCACTCCTTCAAAATTAAAACTATATAAACAAAAGCATTAATATCTCACTAACAATCTCAACACGACCCACAGCAGTGACACATCTACACAGAAAAAAGCAAACTTACAAATACTCTGATTAAACCTAAAATTTCGATATTACGTACATCCATTACATTTCGTGGTGCAATTGACCAAATAACATCTTTCAATTAATTAATCTTTACGTAAGGTTGAGATAAAAAATGACAAAATGGAGGGAAAATTCGAAAGGTTAGGTTGAGATGGGAAGTTGATGTCCGAGTAGATCGAAGTCATTTAGCCGAAGGTCGTGGGTTCGAATCCCGCTCGTGACACTGACTTTTTTATCTCAATCAATACTTTACATAAAGATTAATCAATTGAATTATATACAACATTGTATAAATTTATTTGTATAATTTAAACAATGTTTATAAATCCCAGGCCCTGAAGATGATCTCAATAAAGATAGGAACGTAGGTACGATAAAGAAAATGTTTTTAAGCCATCACACCAGACCGGATCTCACGGTCACTAAATAATTATATTTGTAACGATGAAAATAAAACAACTTAAAAGTTTTTCTTAGATCAGTTTGAATGTTTAACATAGTACAAGGTTCCCCCTTCCAAACGTATGTAAGTATAAATTCCATTAATTCCATTTAAGTAAGCCCCAAGAGGACGTATCTCCTCAAATCCTGACCCGGAAGAACCTTCTTAATTAAGACGGTTTTGTCGGCTCGAGAGGGCGGGGACGCGTTTTAATTGAGCTTAAAGAGCATGATTAAGGGACGGAAAATAAGGCGACGAGGGTCCTCCAATCAATTTCCCTTAATGGTATTTGCACGGATACTCTTAAAGAGCCAGGTCCATTCCTTCAGCTCTTATACTGAAGTAGGATCAAGCAATCATACGGAAAAAAGAACTCACTGATTAGAGATTAGAGAAAAAAGAAAAAATGTAAAATATGTACAAGATATGCAATTTGCATATCTTTGAATTGAATATTATAATATAACTGTTTACGCCAATGTAAACATTTTTATGTATTGATAGTTAATTAGACATCTGATCATTTATCATCTTAAATTTATCATTTTAAAAATTATAAAAACACAAAATTTGTAAAAATTAAGACGCTGGGGAGAGAAACAGGTCATTTTCAACAAGACATCGTAAAATCCGTCAGTCGCTCCCTGGTTTTCGACCTGTACGTACGAACTTCCTTATTTTTTGTATTTTTAACATTTTGTTCGTCAACTTATCTCTCTCTCTTTCTCTNAAATTGTGAATTAATAAATTTAATTATCAAACGAATTATTAAACTTTTATTGTCACAGCCGGCAACTATCCCTGGTAGCGCCCGGACTTGGAGGGTAGATATCCAATACTTACTCCCGCCGGCGTCTACGAAACAATAACGTTGTAACAAACAAATTAATGTGAACGTGAAGGAGGTGATGGACTTTGGAACTCGTGGGAGACAAAAGTGCAGAAAGGCTAAAAGGCGGTGGACAGGAGGCATTCCATTGGGAGACTGCGAACAAACCACCTCGAACGTAGCTGCTTCAACTTGGCTTGTGAAGAATCATCTTATGAGAAAACATCAGGAAAACAGCATTCATCGTGAGTCTTTTCCTATTCCATATTTCCTTAATTTTATTCTTTGGGGATTGCGCATACATAAATATTATGAATTCATTTATTTTTAACAATAGTTTAAATACTTCTTAATTATATTTTAAGTTGTTTTATATTGTTTCAAGAAGAATTGATTTTATTTTTTGTAAAGATTTAAGTTTGAAGATTCAATTTAAAAGAAGGAAGAGTGTAAATATAAGTTTAAAAAAAGAAATAATTGGAGTGAATAAATTCTGTTCCCTTACAGTGCCTTTTATTTTTAAGTTTTTCCTTTTATTAAAATAATAATAATAGTAAAAAAAATTACAATTATTATTGTAATTGTTAAAATTGTATTTTAATTTTTTCATAAAAAAGACCCTCAAAGTCTAACAACGTAGTGGACAAATTCAGAGTAAGTGAGAGTGAGAGGAAAAGATTGAGAGGAAGACAGAATGAGAGAGAAAGAGTGAGAGAGAGAGTGATTGAGAGAAAGAATATTTAGTAATATAAGTTATCAATTATATGATTAGTCTGAATTGTGCAAGAATTTTACAAACATACATAATTTATCAAATTCCTAAAAAATAACAATTATAAAACAAAATATTAAAAGGTTAACTGTAAATTACACTAAGTACAATATAACGTGTTTATTCGAATTTTATGAGACAATCTTCATTGGCGTTAGTTTATGCGTGAAATATTAGTAAGCCAAGACGACAAAATAATCCAAGGACGAATCGGATTAAAAGATCGACTTTGTCGGCGGGAAAACTGGTTGATTCACTTATATACAATACTTTCATTAAGCTTTCGGCTTATAAAGGCTTTCGAGTGCAAATGTGCACGGGCGCGTTTTACAGCCGGTACAATTAAACCGGCTGATGTAAAGCTAGCTTTTATTTAGTTGAATGATTACCGCACCATGATTATTTCAAGCATCGCTGCCGTTTCCGGCTCCTGATGCCTTTTTCACTTTGAGGTGAGGAAAAGCCCCTGTGAGTTCTTGAACAAAAACCTAGCTTCAAAGTAAATCTAAGAACGTATTTTTCTCAACAACAAAAAATATAGTAGAACGAGTTTTTTTAATGTATATATTAATTGCAGTTCTAATTAGTAACTTTTTGATAACATCAAAAAAACAATTAATTTTCATATAATTAAAAGAAGTGTTCTGCTTTTTCCGGGTTTTCTATGCATTAAATCCTTAACAATCATCAAAATTATTTAAAATAAAAGGGTGTTTTTCAGGTATATGCATGATACATTGCTTCATATAAAGAAAATAACCGAATTATTTCAAAATCAAATCTACAGATGGACCAAATTACGATAATTGTTGATAACAAAATTTAAAAAGCATCGGTGTATAATTAACCCAAATATGAAAGGGGCGTAGGTGGCCGCAACGGTTTTGGCGTTGACACGGCGCTCATCACTGTAAGGTAAAGGTCTCGGGTTCGAATCCAGCGGCCCTGCATTCGAACCCGACATACTTACAAATGAGCTTTTTTTTCAAAAACACTGGCACCCTGAGGGTTTATATGACCTCTGCTGTTGCGAACTCTCGAAAAAAAACCAAATATGCAAATAAAAAAATAAAAACCTATACATGTGAAGCTTACGTTTTTCTAAAAGTAACATTAATGTTTTCAGTGTTAAAAGTTCCCACCACTTTTTCACTCTCGAACATTTTGGGGCAAGGTAAGAACGAAGTAAATTCAATTGTTACTGTTACAAATTGACATATTTAAGCATTTTACAGGTGATCTCAAATTTCCTTAAAGACTGACTCAGTCCTAACATTGCCAAGGACTGTCACAGGCAGTAACAACTGAATTAGCGTCTTTCTTCAAGACGATACTTTAGTGAAATCCATAGTGTCCGTGGAAAATTAATGTTAATAAATTGTTAATGTTTTTCAATGACACTATCGGAAAAAAGCCTAAGAAAAAATTTAAAAACCAGAATGTGTTAAAAGATGATAACGGCACTGTCGCTTTATAACAAACGTTTTTACCGGTCAAATCAATTAACAAATTTCAATTAATTGTTTTAATAAACTTTACAATGACTTCAACTTGTGTTACGATTTAAGATTAGGAAAAGGTTCGAATATTGACAAAATCGTTAAGTAATTAAAAATTGTCCGAGTTGAACGGCGTTCGGGGCCGGCTAAGCCCGCACGACAGTCCAGTCGTGCGTGTAGTAACGCCTTAAACTAATTAAAACAATTGCTTGTCAATTTTGCTAAAAAATAATGATCTTTCATTTAGCAAAAATATAAAACGTCATATTTGTGGAAAATTTCTTGGAAAAAGGATGTTAGTTCAATACCTTTTGAGAAGAGTAAAGAAATTCCAAGTTAAAACTGAAATAAATTACGTGTTTTATCGCGATCCTGTTATTAAGAAGGTTGAATGAGTATTTTACGAAAAAAATATAATTATAAACAAAAATTTACTTTGTGTTCAATTCTTAAAAACAATTTCTCCAACGTTTATTAAACATGGCTTTCATACTTTCATACTGAAGTATAATAAAAAGTTAAGGGCTGTTTATGTCTTTCATTTCATAATGTATAGTTTCGTGATTTACGGTTTTAATTTAACATTGGGATGTTTATTAATCGTAAATTCAACTAATAAACCTGGTAGTACAATTAAAATAGGAACGATTAAATATTCAAATATGTGAACATTAAAAATGGCAACGTGATAAACGAAAATACGCATAAAAAACCCTATTGTCATTTAGCGTATTTATTTAGGTGAAGGAATTTAAAAAATAAAAACTCAATTTTAACGCAAACCCGCTTTTTATATTTGAATATGAAACCTCTTCATTTTCCTAGAATTTTCTATTATTTTTTTTATTGCATATTTTTTTCATTAGATTTTTTAATTCAAAATACCAACTCTTGACATCATTCTAAGTTGTATTTATTTGTATATATTTTAATCATAGTGTATGATATATTTTGAATGGACGATATACTTCATTTTACTTATTATGTTCATTAGAGTTTGACGAAGTCACGATAGCTCAAGTGGTAGAGCAGCGGCGTATCAAGCCGAAGATCGTGGGTTCGAATCCCGCTCGTGCCATTGACTTTTTTATCTCAACTGAAAACCTTAATTAATTCTTACAATAAATTACGCCGCTGCTCTACCAATTGAGCTATCGTGACCTCGATCCACTCGGACACCAACCTCCTATCTCAACCACACCTTGTGAGTTTTCCCTCCTTTTTGCCATTTTTCAAATGTCGCGTAATCAATTTGATTCTCGGCGACAAATGAAATGGGCACGGAGAGCTTTAGTGAAGTGTACTTCATTTGAAACTTATTAAATTCACTAGTTTCGTGGTCCGCTTGACCAATTAATATCTTACAATTAATTAAGGTGGATAGTGTGCATGTAATTTATTGATGTGAATGGAGGTCGCATTCCCAATTGACCCGAGACATATCGAGAACTTTGACGTAGTGGAATGTAATTTATTAGCGCGAATGCGGCCTAATGTACAATTTCCCACCTTTCCCCAGATATGTCGACTATTCTAGGGTAGAATGAGCGAAGTATTCTGTGTGAATATTAGTTTGAATGGAGGAGCTCAATCCTACTTAACCCCCGAGGTATGTCGAGGTAAAACTCTGGAGAAGTACGAAACAACACTACCATAAATAATCTTGTTTATATTTTATGAATATTTGAGTTATTTTATACACAATTGGCGAGGACATGAGTCTAGCAAGACAAGAAAGAAAAGAAAAAGTCGGTTACCGATTTAATTAGTCTTATTAAAACTTGAATGGAGAAACAGAAAAAGAAATTCATAGGAATAAAAATGGAGAAAAACAGAAAAATAAAGCAAAGTAAGAGAGGATTGGTGATTACCAATATTGCTTGCTGAACCTAAAACTAACAAAAAATCTCTGTCATTTTTTCGATTAAATCTTTAATTACTGAACTTAGGTTTTAAAAATAATATCCTCGATTTACGATTTCCAATGCAAGTTAGTACCCAGGGTCTCCGTCATCTTTGATTATAAACGGACATTCAGGCACAAAAACCACAAATGTATTATTCTTTTCAGTTTTAACAAAGGGAAAATATACCTTTTCATGAAAATAAATTTTTACGAGGAAAAAATAAGGTGGGGATGTCTTAAACTTCGTCAAACGTCATTTATATAGAGATAAATATTTGTGTGATTTATGATCTAACGTCGAAAGACGGTGAAATAAATGTTTTTCTCCACTGAAATAGCTGACAAGTTACGTTCGACAGGAATGCAATACTTATTTCTACATCTTTTCTTTATTGGCACTGGTCGTTTCTCAAATATCTAATTTCTTTTAAATTATTACATGTGTATTTAAGACTTCTAACTAAGAAGAAAAATAACTACACAGGAAATTAAATTAACACGGAATCAAGGATTATGAATTGTTTTTACCTAGCTAATTAGTTTATTTTTCAATTTTATTTTTTTAATGTGTATTTTATAATAAAGTTTGGTAAGCAACATAACTCATTTCAATTTTTAAGCTCTTATCTCGCTGAATAGTAGCTCTATGGTTCTTGCTTAAAGCACCTGCATTGAGTTTTATTTGGCAGTTAGGGAGAATATAATTTGTGTTCCTGGACTTGAAGAGAATCTTTTAAAGCCGGTTGAATAGAAGAAGTTCACCGTCTTTCCTATGAAAACCTTGACAATAACCCATTTATTCAGTAAAGGGCCGATGGTTTTTCAAACACTATTTTTCTCCTACGAACTCAAAAGAACGATGCGAAAGGAACCCTTTATATTTTGTTGATGCATTCAAACTTATAAAAATTTTCAATTTTATAAAAGTACGATTTTAAGAAGTCAGTCCATTTTTATAATATAAAGGAAAGAAGTTTGCCGGAACATCTATAATGTGATATATTGTTAAGAACGTGATTATTACATAATATTTAAGCAATATATTGACACAGTTTTGTCAAATATTCATGCAAAAAGTTAAAAAGATAAATGTTTTAGCTTGTATATACAAGAAAAAGAAAATCTTTTTGTCAATTTTAAAGGATATTGATTTATCCGGCAATACGGGAATCGGAAAGGAATTTCCGTCGTACTTCATCCCTCACAACTTAAAAAAAGCGATAAAAAGTTTCCCGTCATCATTTCAAAAGGGTATTACCAGGGCTGAGAATCGTCTTTCAATCCCCAAGAGAAAGACAGTTCAATTTCGGTTCGATTTACTTTTATAATTGTTATTGATAATATTTATATAAGAGAAAAAAATCCAACTTTAATTTATCAAGTCGTTTTTTTAACATTAGAATCTAAGAATCGCAAGATTGTATGAATAATTAGATCTCTTTTAACATGAATGTATAAAGGCTCAAATATTTAGAGATAAAAAAGTAAAATTAATTAAAAAATGACTTCTCTTGAGTGAATCTTATTTTAAGACAAAACTTGGCTTATTCAGAAGCGTATTAATAATTAAATATAACTTTTTATAACTTGATAAAAAAATGACAAATATTAGTAAATAAGGGATTTAAAAATTAGCCCAGCGCCCATTAGAGGTAAGATTTGTCTCGCTATTTTGTCTAATATCTTTTTATGAATATAAGGTGAAATAATAGTCAAAAAATGCATGGAAAATAAATGGAAAATGTATGATGAATATTAGATAATAAAATGTAAATAATTTTCCTATGATATTATCGAAAATACACCTTAGAAAAAGAGTTAAAATCGTAATCAAAAATGTTAGTAAATTGTAAATATTTTTCGTAGAATTACCAAAAAAAAGTTTGGTCCAATTCCGTGACACACCAACGCGGTCGTCTTCCTTGTTTGTTAAAAAGTTAAAATCGAAATCAAGTCTGTTAACAACTGATAACATCACGTTCAAATAATTACACCAGCTTCGATCGTGTAAATTACAATTAATTATTTTAATAAACTTCATGAGTTGAACTTGATGATTTAACATTAGAAAAAGACTCGGAGATAAACAATCCATTAGTGAAATTAAATGTTGTCCCGGTTGAACGGCGTTCCGGGGCAACCTCACCCGCACGACAGCCCTGTCGTGAGTATCTTAACGCCTTGATTTAATTAAAACAAAAACACTTGATGATCTGGTTAAAAAGTAATTATCTTTCGATTAACATTTTTTTTAAAAAGTCACATTTGTGGAAAATTTCCAAGGTAGTTTTTTTTCCAAACAGGTTGGAAAAGAAAAATATGTTTCCAATTAAAACCTGAGAATCAGTCGTAAAGAAATTAAATCCGTCATAAATTATATTATCGGTAGTGCCTGAATTTATATGCATTAAAATACCCTTCAAAGATGCCATGTAATTTTCACTAAAAAT